AAGATCTACACGAAGCTAGATATACGCCAAGCTTTCCACCGGATCCGAATGCACCCTGATTCGGAGGAATTAACTACTTTTCGTACTCGCTATGGAGCCTATAAGTGCAAAGTCTTGCCTTTCGGACTTACTAATGGACCTGCCACGTACTAGCGATATATGAACGATATATTGTTTGAGTATTTGGACGATTTTTGTACTGCTTACCTCGATGATATCCTTATTTACTCCGATAATCCCCTCGAGCACGAAGAGCACGTGAGAAAAGTGCTGCAACGACTTCAAGACGCCGGCTTGCAAGCTGACCTCAAGAAGTGCGAATTCAACGTGACTCGTACGAAGTATTTGGGTTTCATTATTAGTACAGAAGGCATATCTGTAGACCCAGAGAAGACGAGAGTGATAGAGGAATGGAAGCGCCCTAGTACGGTTAAAGGCGTACAGTCATTCTTAGGCTTCTGCAACTTCTACCGCCGATTTATTAGGGAATATGGAAGGATTGCAGCTCCCTTGACTCAGCTTACGAAAGCGAACGTCCCCTTCCACTTTAATAGCGATTGCGAGACTGCTTTTGAGAAGCTTAAGCTACAGCTTATTACAGCACCAATTCTACAACACTACGACCCCGCGCTCGAGTGTATGATAGAAACGGACGCCTCCGATGGTGTAGTTGCAAGAATCCTCAACCAGAAGCATGGAGAGCAGTGGCTACCTGTGGCCTATTTCTCTAAGACTATAGCCCCTGCTAAGTTGAATTACGAGATCTATGACAAGGAGATGCTAGCTATTGTGAAGACTATAAAGGAATAGAGAGCTAAACTAGCCTCCACCCCTACACCTGTCAAGGTTTACACCGATCACAAAGCCCTGGAGTACTTTATGTCATCCAAGAAGCTAATAGCCAGGCAGGCCCGTTGGGCAGAGCTGCTAGCAGACTTCTATTTCATTATCTTGTACCGCTCTGGTAAAGACAACCTCAAAGCTGACGCTTTAACCCGCCGAAGTGATGAGACAAGCTCGCAAGACGCTGTTAAGGAAGCCTCTCGTACCCAAACACTCCTTACAGCTAACAAGCTAGATCCT